GAGCGTCTCTCTCTCCAGAGCACCTCTGTCCCCAGGCATCTTCCTCTGTGCCAAGGGCAGTGGTTGCTCTGGGATCCCTGGGTGCCAGACCCACATCCTTCTAGTGGTCCCACTAGAAGTGGTCCACTTCTAGTTGTCCCTAGTGTGGACAGCTGGTTTCTGCACTGACACATAAGGTGGTAAGTAGGAAGTGAAATGTGCAGGCACCACTCACTGACCTGTGTTTACTGAACCCCCTTATGTGCTGGGCACAGGGGCTACAGAGTGAGTTGAGCCAGTGTCACTGCCCTAGAGGAGCCCTCAGCTCGGGTGAGGGCAGGTGTCACCATTCAGTGTGATAAGTGCTGGGGCCCACCCATAGGAGAGGCTGGTGTCAGGGAAGGCACTTGAGAAATATAAGGAAAGGTTTGCCAGGAAGGGAACAGCATTGTCAGCAGGGGGAACGGCCTATGCAAAGGCCTGGAGGTAGGAGGGAGTAGCAGGTGGTTTTAGTGAAGGGTGGTTACAAGAGGAATGGCAGGAGATGGGATCAAAAGGTCAGCAGGGGCCTGGTGTGCCGTGCCAAGAAGCCCGTGGGAATGAGGGTGCAGGATGAGTGGTGGGGTGTCAGGTGCCCAAGCCAGAGGGCCGGAGGTCACCAGGGAGAAGTTAAGAGCCAACCATGTAGAGATGGCTGCAGTCAGGCTACGCAGGAGCCGGAGCCAGGTCCTGGCCTCTCTCACAGATGCACGTGCTCTGGGCAGGGTCCCACCTCCCCAGACAGATGGGCTTGACAGACTCCTTTGGTGTCAGGGGCAGGGGTACCTGACCTGGGCTTGACGCCCATGCTTCTGTCTGGCACAGGGGCGCTCGGTAATGGATGCCACAGGACAGAGGTGCCGGGTGGTCAAGCGCAGCTTTGCCTACCCCAGCTTCCTGGAGGAGGATGCGGTCGATGGAGCAGAGACATTCTACTCCTCATTTTTTAGTAAGGCAAGCATGGGGTGTGTGGGCCCTCGGGGTCGGGGGACCGGGGTGGGTGGGAGCCAGGAGAGGTCACCCGGCCTCAGTCATGCTCTGCTGGGAGCCCCTGAGATGTCCAAAGGCCCATCGGTGGGATGGGGGTGCGTCTTTCTGTCGGCAGGGCAAGGACCTGGGGTGAGGAAGGGTGCCAGCCGGGAAAGTCCCCATCAGGGCCCACAAACACATGCCTTCTACCTCCCTTCCAAAGAGCCTGTCCGGCTTTGTCCTGCCCTTTAATTGAGCTACTGGGGGCAGTGCTGGAGACGGTGACTCCTCACACTGTCTCTTTTTGTGTCCCCGACTCCACACCCACTCCAGGAAGAAATGAGCTCCGTGCCTGATGATGTGTTTGAGTCGCCCCCACTCTCTGCCAGCTACTTCCGGGGCATCCCATGCTCGGCCTCCCCGGCCTCCCCTGAAGAGATGCAGGTCCCTCTGTGAGTTCTGGGCAATCCTCCAGGTGGAGGGAGGCGGCACCGTGGAGGAAGAGCCCAACAGCCCTGCCAGGGGGCTTCCCTAGACCACAGGTCCCTCCTGACCCCCCTCATGGGACGTGGGAGGGGAGGACACCAGGCTGAGACCACCGTCCTCACCAGGAAGGAGTCTGACCGAGCCCCGGTGCCCGCGGCCAAACGTGGCAAGCGTATCGCATCCAAGGTGAAGCACTTTGCCTTCGACCGGAAGAAGCGGCACTACGGGCTGGGTGTTGTGGGCAACTGGCTGAACCGCAGCTACCGCCGCAGCATCAGTAGCACCGTGCAGCGCCAGCTGGAGAGCTTCGACAGCCACCGGTGAGCCCCGCCCACTCTGTGACAGTGCGGGGAGAGGCGTAGGCCCAGGGGAGAAGGGCTGAGAGCCGTCCAGGAGGGCCTGGGAGCTTCCAGGTTCCCCGGGGGCCCCTCCCGAAGCTCCCCTTATTGTTCATCGAGCCTTTGGGTCAGGGGAGCAGGGACGGCCCCTAGGGTCACCCTACAAGCATGCACGTCACCTGGGAAGGGTTGTCGGGTGTTGCCGCCTCTTCTCCACCCTCCCCGCTTTCTGGGCCTGCCTCCTCTGCGGGGCTCCCAGACGGCAGCCCGGCAACAAGTGTTCACTGAGCACCATCACACAGGCCCTGGAACAGCGGAGCAGGGCGGGCAGGGTAGGTCAGAGGGGCAGTTAGAAGTTGTGACCGCGAGTGAAGGGACTGTGAAGAGGCCTGCACAGAGACCTTGGGGGAAGCCAGAGGATTGGGAAGAGGCCATTCTCAAAGAATGTACAATTAGCAGCAACCTGATAGACATTGGACCCTAAGTTAAAAAAAATTAAGTGATAGCAGGTGTGGTGAGTGTCCTGGAGAAGGAGGACAGAGGGTGGGAGTGAACAACTGGTTGGGGGGAGCATCGTCAGGAGCAGCAGCAGTTAGCTGGGTGAAGAGAGACGGCAAGGGCATCCCAGGCAAAGGAAGCATCATGTGCAAAGGCCCTGGGGCTGCAGGGATTGGGGTTTGTTCCAGGAACTGCAGGAGAAGGAGAGGAAGGAGGCCAGGGAGGTGGGCAGATGTAACAAGATCTTGCAACCAGTGGGGAAGGAGCCATGTTAGACTTTATCCCCAGGGCAGCGAGAAGCCATGGAAAGGATTTAAGCTGGGAGAGACGCAGAGAGGTGCATTTTAAGAGTTGCTGTGGAGAAGGATGAGTTGGAGGGGAGTAGTGGAGGATAGGGAGCAGGTGCGAGCTGTTGGCGGCTGGGGCTGAGGGTTGGGATGTGACTTTGGCTCCGCTGACCCGATGCCTCTGCCCGCAGGCCCTACTTCACCTACTGGCTGACCTTCGTCCACGTCATCATCACACTGCTGGTGATTTGCACGTACGGCATCGCGCCTGTGGGCTTCGCCCAGCACGTCACCACCCAGCTGGTGAGTGGGGCTAGGGAAGGGGGGCTCCGCCCTGGGGATCCTAGCCTCCCCCAAGAGGCGCCAGCATCTTGGGCCACCCAGTCCCTTCCACGGCAACAACCTGGCCCAAGCAGGAGAGTGCTCTGGGCTCACCATTGCTTTGCTTCTCAGCCCCTTCCCCGGAGGCCCTTCCCTGGGACAGAGAAACCCCTGACCCCCCGATCCTTCCACCTCTGCACCAGGTACTCAGGAACAGAGGTGTGTATGAGAGCATGAAGTACATCCAGCAGGAGAACTTCTGGATTGGCCCCAGCTCGGTAAGGGGCCCAGGCAGGGACAGCATCTCAGCAGGGAGCCTCTGGCCTTTGCCACCCCCAGCTGGGCAGGAAGGGGGTTGGCTTGCCTGGAAGCCCCCCTCATCAGGGGCCCCTAGGGGGAGGCTCTCAACGGAGCAGCCAGGTCTGGACCCGAGCTCACTCCCCACTGCCCTCCGCCCCCAGATTGACTTGATCCACCTGGGAGCCAAGTTCTCACCCTGCATCCGGAAGGACCAGCAGATCGAGCAGCTGGTGCTGCGGGAGCGAGACCTGGAGCGGGACTCGGGCTGCTGTGTCCAGAATGACCACTCGGGCTGCATCCAGACGCTGCAGCAGGACTGCTCGGTGGGGGCAGAGGCCCTCCGACCCCTGCGAGCCCCACCCTGGTCCCCTGCACCATCTCCACTTGCCCCAGCCTGGGGGAGGGGCCCTTCAAGGGCGGTGTCTACGCTGCCTCTGTCCTTCCTCTGCCCTCCCTGGCATCACACACCCCTGCACGCAGCTCAGCACATGGAGGGTGCCAACCTCCCCAGCCCCAGAGCGGTGAAAGCTGGGTCTTGGGAGTGTCCGTGGGGGTGGGGGTCTGGGAGATGAGCCTGAGCCCTGGACAGCAGGGCAAGAGCCCCGGCCCTGGAGCGGCCCTTGCCCACTCTGATGGTGGTGACCTTGTCCTAGCCATGACCAGCCTGCCTCCATCCTCCAGGAGACTTTGGCCACTTTTGTCAAGTGGCAGGATGATACGGGGCCCCCCATGGACAAGTCTGCGCTGGGCCAAAAGCGGACATCGGGGGCCGTGTGCAACCAGGACCCCAGGTACAGTCCCGGGCGACCCACAGCTGAGCTGAGGAGATGGGGCTGAGCATCATGTGGTCTGTACCACCCATGGGGATGTTGGCCAGTGGGCGTGGCAGGCTGGGGATGCCGTGGCCCCTCATTTTGCCCCCTCCGACCTCTGCTTCCAGAACCTGCGAGGAGCCGGCCTCCAGTGGTGCCCACATCTGGCCCGATGACATCACCAAGTGGCCGGTGAGTGTCCGGGGGGAGAGCGGTCCGGGAAGGGTGGGGAGGGCCTGCGTGCCGCTGCACAGCCCTAGCCGCTGCCTGTGCCCCTCCTGGCAGATCTGCACGGAGCAGGCCAGGAGTAACCGCTCGGGCTTCCCGCACATGGACTGCCAGATTCGGGGCCGCCCCTGCTGCATCGGCACCAAGGGCAGGTGAGCCGGCCTGGGCCCTGGGCCCGGAGCCCCTGTGCTCCCCCTCTGTCACCCACCCTGCAGCCGGCGTCCTCCCTCCCCACTCGGGGGCCGTCCGTGGTGTGGGCAGGTTCCTGCAGAGGGGCACCGCGTCCTGCCAGTGGTGCCTGCTGCTGCCGGGCACTGGGCGGGGGCGGGCAGGACTCAGGGCCCTGGCGTTCGCCTTGCCTCCCTGTCCCCCAGCTGTGAGGTCACCACCCGGGAATACTGTGAGTTCGTGCACGGCTATTTCCACGAAGAGGCCACGCTCTGCTCCCAGGTGAGGTGGGGTCTGGTGGGGCCCTGGGCGCGAGCAGCCAGGTGCAGCAGCCTGTATGCTCTCCTGCAGCGGGTATCTGGTCCTGCCCCCTACATCGGGGCCTCGGACCCAGCGGGATCCTAGGCGCTGACTGCCATGCTCTCACCCCCAGGTGCACTGCTTGGACAAGGTGTGTGGGCTGCTGCCCTTCCTCAATCCTGAGGTCCCAGATCAGTTCTACAGGCTCTGGCTGTCTCTGTTCCTCCACGCTGGGTAAGAGGTGCCTCGCTGCCCACCTCCCAGACCCCTGTGGTGCCCACCCACCTGGACTCCCGGAGGAGGGGCCCCTGGGCCAGGGCGCAGCCGGCACGACCTGCCAGACCCCGCTGCTCCCGAAGTCGCTGGCTGGCAGACGGGGCGGGGGGCTGATGCCCGGTGTGTCCCCGCCCAGCGTGGTGCACTGCCTCGTGTCTGTGATCTTCCAAATGACCATCCTACGAGACCTGGAGAAGCTGGCCGGCTGGCACCGCATCGCCATCATCTTCGTTCTCAGTGGCATCACCGGCAACCTTGCCAGTGCCATCTTCCTCCCGTACCGCGCGGAGGTAGGGACTCAGGATGCGGCAGGGAGGGCTAGCTCTACTGCTTCCACGCCTCCCGCCTGGCTTGGCCTGAGGGACGCACAGCCCCTGCCATATCAGGCTCAACAGCGGATGGACAGCTAAGCTGGGGGCTTCCTGGCCAATTCCTTAGTCCATCCCGAGGCGCGAGGGAGCAGTGATGCCCCTGGGTCACGTGTAGAGGTCACCTCCAGGAAGACCTGGACCCTGTCCCTCACTCTGCCCCTTTGCTTCATTTCTCTCCGTGACCATGACCACCGCCTGCAGCGCGTCCCATAGCTGTGAGTTGGGCCATATGAAGTTGCCCTCGTGCAACCGTTCTTGACCCAAAGAAATGGCAGTTTTTTGATCAGTCAGGCTCACGCTGTGGGCTTGTTCAGTGTCTGTCCCTCCCCACGTGCGCTGCCTGGAGCAGTCTGTCTTGCTTATGGCACTGGGCGTGCGCGTAGTAGGTGCTCAGTGTTGCAGAAAGGGTGGGCGGAACGAGCCCAGCTTTGTTCCAGCAGCTCCAGCTGCACCTCTCCTGCCCCCCGGCCGTCAGGTTCGGGGTCCCCACCCTGGGAGGGGCTCACGGAGAGGATGACCCAGGTCCTGGGGCTCCAGCCTGGCTGTGCCCAGGCCTCCCCACAGGCTCCCACGTGGCACCCGGAAGTGACCCTGTCCCCTCCCCGTCCACCCACCGCAGGTGGGCCCGGCAGGGTCGCAGTTCGGCCTCCTGGCCTGCCTCTTCGTGGAGCTCTTCCAGAGCTGGCAGCTGCTGGAGCGGCCCTGGAAGGCCTTCCTGAACCTGTCGGCCATCGTGCTCTTCCTGTTCATTTGCGGCCTCCTGCCCTGGATCGACAACATCGCCCACATCTTTGGCTTCCTCAGCGGCCTGCTGCTGGCCTTCGCCTTCCTGCCCTACATCACCTTCGGCACGAGCGACAAGTACCGCAAGCGCGCCCTCATCCTCGTGTCGCTGCTGGTCTTCGCCGGCCTCTTCGCCTCGCTGGTCATCTGGCTCTATGTCTACCCCATCCACTGGCCCTGGATCGAGTACCTCACCTGCTTCCCCTTCACCAGCCACTTCTGCGAGAAGTACGAGCTGGACCAGGTGCTGCACTGACCACCTGCCTGGCGGGGCTGGCACGGCTGCTCCCACGCAGCGCTGAGGACACGGAGACTGTGCCCGGGTCAGGCTGCCTGCCTGCACAGCGCCCACCCCCCGCTCCAGAGACCCTGTGGGGCCGGCCCTGCTCCCAGGAGCTCTGCCCCCAGGAGAGGCTGAGTCTGCGGGAGATGGTCATCAAGGGCGGCTCCTTGGGGGACTGAGGGCCCCCTTCCCCAGGCCTGGGCTGGGGGACACTCCGAATATGTGTTTCTCTGCAGCTCAGGGCCCAGGCCCTGACATCACCCTGCTCCCCTGCTGTCAGGACCACTTCCTGGGGGGTGGGCTCCTTTCTTCCCAAGGTCCTGGGCTGCTGCCCATCTCCCACCTCTGGCTCTGCTGGTATGTTCCCCCTCCCCATTGCTGTGAGCCTGCCCTTCCCGGGGACCTGGCTGGGGTTCCCACCAGGTTCCCAGCCCTGCCCGGCCACGGCCCCTACCTGTTTCCCCTCCCATCTCTGCCCTGTGAATCCACGCCCTGCACTCATCCGTGGCCTGGTGAGCCTGCCCATAACGCTCCGGGTCCAAACCTTCTGGGACAGGGTTTGGCAGTGGTCTGGGGCAGAGAAGGAGCAAAGAGACACAGACTGGCAATCTGAGAGCCTCCGCTGATCTCAGCAAACAGAGGCTGAACCTGCCCCGCACCCAGGCCCCCCAGCCCCTCCCAGCCCAGTCCCTTCCTTCAAGTCAGTGTTCTGCCTCCTGGGGCTGGACTGACACCAGCCAGCCAGCCATCCTCTGCCTCACTCCTGCCCAGGTGAGGGCAGGGCCACCCCAAGGACCTGTGTCCAGGGGTTGCCCAAGGTCAATCAGGCCTTTTTTTTTTTTTTTACCAGTTTATATTATGGTCCTAATTTTTTTTAAAGTAACACTAACTTTGTATGGACGATGTCTGAAATGTATTAAATGATATTCTTTAAGAAAGTATCGTCTTTTGACCTCCAGCCTCGCATAGAATAAAAACTGGAACTTTATTTTGGGAGTGGGGGGTGGCAGGGTCAGCCGTGAGGAGCTAGGGGGCAGGGGCTTGGCCCAAAGGGACAGTGGATGCCTGTGGGTCTTGTGGGAGATCTGGTTGGAGAAGAAGCCAGGTTGGGGTCACATGGAGGGGCTCAAGGGGGCCCTTGAGAAGGTGGTGTCAAATCTTTAGACCCCTGCGTTCCCCAAGCCCCATCAGGGGTCTGGCTGGGTGGAGGGGAGGGCCGTCCTGGCAGAAGCAGTGCGGTCCATTCCCTGCGCCCCCCAGCCCTTCATCCCACACCCCGTGGGACAGAGGACCCACAGTAACCGTGGGTGCCCAGGGTGGGTGGGTGGGGGAGCTGGGAGGTGGCCCCTGCCCTTCCCTGCTCCCGGCTGCCTCCATTCCAGGGATGAGGATGGGAAGGGGCAGCCCTGGGCCTGGGGGAATAAGGGCCCCCTGGGCACCCGGCTCCTTTGGTGAGGACGCTGAAACAGGGCTGCAGGCCGCCTCCCACTGTCCCCAATTCACCCACCCAGCCACGTGTGGGCACAGTTTGGATGCAGGGGGTCCAGGAGGCCTCGCGTGGACAGACTGGAGGATACAGCACTCATGCCCCAGCAGGGCAGCCTGGGCCGGGAGCAGCCGCCCTGCCCTCTCTTTATTTCACCCCCACGCCCCACCCCAGGACCCTCTGGGAATCACTGTCTCCCTTCAGGCTGAGCTGAGCTGAGCGACAGCAGGGCAGAGAAGGGGACAGCGGGACTGGGTAGGAGCCCCCAGCCTGCCTCCCCACACCCCTGGCACCCGTCCGTGGGCTCCCCGGGGGGGCCAGTTCAGCAGTCGGTGTGCCTGCGTGGGGAGGCGTGGCCCCGCAGGGAGCACTGCATCTCCCGAAGGCGAGTGAGCCCACAGAACACGGGCCCACGGGGTGGAAGCCAAACCTCTGGTAGAAGGGCACCAGCCTGTCCTCGCACGTGAGCATGGCCAGGTGCATGCCCGGATGGCCGCCCAGGTGGTGCAGGTGGCGCCGGAGCAGGACGGAGCCCTTGCCCTGCCTCCGGAGGGGCAGTGCACGGCCAGCACGTGCAGGTGGGTCGTGCAGGCCCCGGGCCTGTGCAGTGTCAGCGACTCCTGGGGGCGAGAGATGGACACGAGTCCAGGTCACCTCTGTGGACACCTGCACCCCCAAACCACCCCCACCCGGGCCAAGGGCAGGTGCCCCTGAGTGCCTCTAATCAGGACCCCCCTCCTACCCAAGGAGACCCCAAATTGGGACCTACATTCCCAGCCCTATGGCGGTCCCTTCATGAGGGCCTTGAGACCGCAAAGGACTGGTCTTGCCCTGGAGAGGACCCACGTCTGTGCTCATCTCTTATCTCGGAGGAAGAAATCCCAGCCTCCAGGCTCCTCCCCCAACCTGGCTGCCTCTGTGAGCGCAGGAGGAGCTGGCGCCATCGGGCAGTGGCCTCTCCCCCGGAGGCCCTCCTGGGGCTGGGCATCTCTGCCCCCAGCCCCTTCCTCACCAGAGTGAGTCTCTCCTCAGCCCACAGGGAGCCGACGATGAAGGCCACGAGGCGGCCCTCCACGAACCAGTCCAGGGACAGCTCAGGACACAGGGCCAGGAAGTGCCGGACCTGGTCCAGGTTCAGGGGGCAGATGCCCGAGACAGAGATCAAGGCTGTGGAGCCGGCCCTGGTGGTGACTCCGTGGTCCACTGAGCATCGGCTCGGATGCTGGGGGTGGGCTCCCTCAGCCCCCAGCCCTCCCCCACAGGAAAGCAGAGGATTCAGGGCTGCTCTTCCCCCCGCTTTGCTGAACACACATGTGCTCTTGCACACGCACAGAAACACCCAGAGTCAGATACTCTGGGGTCCCAACTGCCAAGGGCAGGAGACTCGAGGGTCTTCTCTCCAAGGGCAACAGCGACAGAGTTCAGCAGCGTCCTGGACCCTGTTGGGGGGTTACCCACCCTCTCACTCAATCTCAGACATGCCAGGAGCATCCTCTGGGGTGAGGCAGCAAAACTCGGTGGGGAGTGTGTGGCGCCGCTGGTGACTTGGGGACTCTGGGATCCCAGGTGGCAGGCGCAGAGCCACAGGCTTCAGGTAGTGGATGCTCTGAGTGGACCTCCTGGCCACTGCTGCTACCCTGGGGGCCCCAGCTTCAGAAGTGGCCTCTGTGATGAGGAGGGCCCCTCTGCACCTGTTGCGGAGGAGCGATGGTCAGGGGTCTGGTCCTCAACTCCTGGGGGGCCGTGCAGGGTGATGGTGCATCTTGCCTCTTTTGTAGGGGACCTGGAGTGGGGAGTCTGGGGGCCGGGGTGGAGCGGGCAAGCAGGGCGTGGACACTTCCTGCCCTGTCCCTGCTCACTGGGTCCCTGGGTCACTGTTTGTCTCTTTCCCTGACCGTCTGCTGATGTGCACTTCTTAGAGGTGGCCATCCCTCCCTTACAAAGCCCCACGTCCTGCACGTCGCCCTGCCCTCCCTCCTCCACCTTCTCTCCCCACATCTCCAAGCCCCAAGCAGGGGACTCCCGTTCTTGAATTCTGGGAGCCCAGGGGCAGGGGTCCCACTTATCAGGACTGTGGGGCAGGGGCTCCAATGTTCCCCCCACAGAGCCAATCACCCCAGGGGCCATCCACAGGCTCAGGACCAGAAAAATCCAGACTCCTGGGTACACAGCTGTTGTAGCAAGTGTGGCCGGGCAGCACGTGATGTTGATCTCAGAGATTTCTAATCCCCCACCCGCCCCGCCTCCATATTACAGAAAGGTCGAAGTCAGCAGGGCTCCGGCCACCCTGTGCCTTGTCCCTGCGTGCTGAGGGTGAAACCTCAGATGGCACACGGTTGCAGGGGATTACAGTGGCTGGCTGAGGCCCCAGAGTTTTGGGGGAAGAGCACGGGGCTAAGCCTCATGGGTCCACTCTAATCCCTGCCTTGGCGCCAACTGGCTGGCACAGGCATTCGTCCTCTGTCCCCTGGAAGCCTGGGCAAGCCCACCTCTGAGGGTCCTTCCAGCTCTGGCAGCCTGAGTGTGCCACCATTTAGAGCACTTGCTTGGTGGCCAATTAGAACTGCAGACCCAGAGGGGAGGGGACAGTCCGGGTACTGTATGTAAAGTCAACGTCATCAAATGTCCCGGTGTGGGGACGGCTCAGGGGCTTCTCTCCAGACCCCTGTTGGTAGGGTTTTGCTCTTTGTGCCACAGTCTCCCTCCAGCACCAGCTCCCTTGAGAGGGTCCTGCGACCACGGTTCCCCCAGCTCTGACTCTACTCACCCTGCCCCCACTCTGCACTTCTTCTCCCATGATGGCTCCCATTTAGGGGTCCCACCGTCACCCCCTCCAGCCTGGTCTCCTTTGGGGCCTCCTGGCCCGCCAGACAGGGATACACACATCTGGGCAACAGCTGTGGCTGGCTGCCAGATCTCTCCTACAGGCTCTGTAGTCCCAGGCAAATCCTGGGCTATGGCTGGGCTCCTGCTCCAGGGCTCCAGAACATTCTAGGACAATTGGAGGCAGGTTGTCCAGGGCACATGGTGAACCCCAGAGGGCCATGGGACCTGACTGCCCACCTGCCCCAGCAGAGCCTGGCCTCTGATCCGGCTGAGCCCCCATCCCACTAATGCTCCATAGCGGTGGGATGACGGGTACAGACTTGGCTGTCCTCACGATGGAGTGGACATCTGAGTCACAGTATGGGAAGAACATTCTGAGGGACCGCGTGTCTTCACAGGGAAGCTGGGGCCCAAGCTTGGGGATGTTCTCTCTGGGTTGGAGGGGGGAACCATTAACAGGAAGAAAGATGAGGAAATGAGCAGACCCAGGATCAGGACACACCCCAGAACCCAAGGAGGGGGTGGCCAGCAGCATCTCATGCAGCCCAGAGTGGAGAAAAGATCTTAGATTCCCCTAACAAGGAGGCTTCTGATGGCTGTTAAGAGTCCTTCCAGGGCTTCCCTGGTGGCGCAGTGGTTGAGAGTCCGCCTGCCGATGTGGGGGACGCAGGTTCGTGCCCCCGTCCGGGAAGATCCCACATGCCGCGGAGCAGCTGGGCCCGTGAGCCATGGCCGCTGAGCCTGCGCGTCCGGAGCCTGTGCTCCGCAACAGGAGAGGCCACAACAGTGAGAGGCCCGCGTACTGCAAAAAAAAAAAAAAGTCCTTCCAGGACAGAGGGGGGGGGGGGGTGGGGACCAGATGCAGTGTTTTGGGGGGCCCCGAAACACTCTGATGATGCCTCTGAGACCCCAGTTTACCCAGCAGAGCAACCAAAAGGCCTGGACAGGCAGGGAAGGCAGCCCTCAGTTCAGGCACTTGGGCAACTAGTTGCATTTTCTGGTGGTTTTGAGGGTGGCATCCTTTTCTCATTCCTCCCCTGCACTTAAGATAGGCTCTGCGCACCTGGCACGGAGCACATTTTGCCTAATCATATTTACTTTTCCAACCATAATCTGTCACTAGCAGGTTCCCCAGGGGACAGAGGCTGAGATGGAGAATTGTGTGCAGGAGTTTCATTGGGCGAGCTCCCGGGAGCGTATAAACCTCTGGAAAACAGAAATTGTATTGAACGTGTGGCGATGTGCTAGATACAGAGACCAGGAGCCTATCAACTAGGTGGCAATTCTGTTGAGGAGGATGACACTTAGCTCGTTGATTTGCTGTGGATTTATTTTGAAGCCTCCTTTGCATAGATAGGCTGACATCACTGCAGGGCTGAATGTGGCCCCGTCCTTATTTAGGGTTCAAAATCTGCCATATTACACAGGCAGTTTCCTCAGGAACTTTCCAGACCTTTCTGCAACGGAGGTGTCAAAAGCAGGAAGAGTTCGCCACCTCCTGGAGAAAGAGGGGACCTACGGCTTCCTGAGCATCTGGAGCCCGGCTCTCCAACGGAAAGATCCCGTGAGCCGCATATATGATTTTCAATTTTCTAGTAGCCACATGAGAAAAAGCCAAAA